GCTTGCGAGGCAGCGCCTGCCTGGCGGCGGAGGCCGGGTACTGCACGGGTCAGCCAGGGGGGGCTCTGCGGCTCCCGCCTCCTTCCTCAAGCTACGGCGGCCAACGGTGCCCGCGCTGGAGCGGGGTCGGCCAAGCACAGCGCCCTCTTCTGGTTAAACATATAAGGAAGAAAACAATAAAACAGCAACAAGACGGTGATAAAATAAATAATGAAACATAATAAACTACTGAAACAATACCAATAAAATACTAATAAAATAATCAATAACTAAACAAATTATTAAATGATCAATCAGTTAATAAAATGAATAATTAAACGATGGAATACTATTAATAATATTAATGATACTAAGTACTAACACTCATACTATTATTAATAATAATATTACAATTAAGCAATGGAATATTATGTATATATTTAATTACTATTAATAGGTTAATAATTATATTATTAATAGGTTAATAATTATTTAAACAATTGAATACTATTGATCATATTCATGATGAATAATTATTAATACATTAATATATCAAAATCAATAGTATGAATATTATTTATGATCAATGTTCATAAATAATAATATAATATAACCATAAATAATAATATCATTTATGGTTATATTAATGCTTAATTATTCATTATTAATTTGATCAATAGTATTCTATCACTTCATGTTAGTATTATGAATAAAACAATGGAATAATAATATTAATCCATCACTTAATTAGATTATTATTATTCCATTGCTTAAATTATAATATAACATAAATAGCAAACACATCATAAAGTAATAAGTAGCAGTAATCACACAGTCCTTTTCTTCAGGAACCAGGATTTCCTTTTGTTACCCACCCCACCTAACCCCCCATGCCCCAGAGGGAAGGAGTGCTCTACTCTGCAGGACAGTGGCTCTCAGTTTTTTGTTGTCTTTTTTAAAAACTCAAGGTGCCCCTTGTTACACTTCAGGCACCCCTCAGAGAAATCAAAGCTCTTAATTTTCGCCTGGTTTTGTGATTGCAAGGCGGAAAAAGAAGATACTAGAGCAATTCTCTTTTTGCAAAAAACTCTGAAAGGCCACAACAGGGCAGGATGTTTTCAACTCTGCTGACTACAATTTGAAGGGGGAAAAAAAAAAAAAAAAAAAAAAAAAAAAATCACTGGGTTTAACTTGCGAATTATGTTTGCATTTGAGTGCTAACATTGCGTGGCAGCCCGCAGTACCCTTGACAGATCAAAGCACCCCTGCTGGAGGAAAACACAACAAAGAAAACCCCAAAATACCACTGCTGTAAGACGAGGGGAATTTTGACCAAGAGCTACCTCTTCTACACTGATGAGTTGTTTTTAGTGCCTATATCAAGTACAGCAAAAAGGAAAGCATGCATTTCACACTAGTTGCTTAAGCTGAGCAGGCATCTGTGTGCATGTGTACATGCCCCCCCCCCCCCCCCCCCACACACACACACACACACACACAATTCCTTCCCCTCCCTATACTGAACCTCCAAAGAGCAAAATTTTTATCTTGAGGCTATACAATTAGTGAAACTTCTTTAAAAATTGAGGAAATACCTGATGAAGGGTTTTGTTTTTTTTTTTTTTTTTTTGAGGGGAGAAGGTTCTCAGCATTAGCTGAAAGTAACTGGTACTTATTTCATGTGCAAAAGGCAGGTGTCAGCTTGCTAAAAAGAAGCGACAACCAATTTTTTACCCAGTTAGTATTTTAATTGGAAGCCGGCTTCCAAAGTACCAGTAGAAAGCAAGGCAGAAGGGCAACGGTGACTAATCTTAGTTCTCTGCTAGTTTCTTCCTTGCATCTAGTAGATAACGCTTACAGAAGTTCAGCAGAACTTAAGAAACAAAACTGGACAAATTCTAGACAGTTTCCTCTCTGCATTCCTTCCTATTTCTTGCTAACCAGGCACACAGAAAGTGTTTGGTATTTGACAGCATCTATTTTTAAAGCACTTTGAAAAATCAAGAAGTGGGACACAATGGTGAAGTGTCAAACAGGTGTGGGGGGGGAGGGGAATTGGCTATATAAAAGAAAAAACAAACAGGGATCAAGTGTTTTTTGTAGAACTAAAAGGAAAAGAATCAGACAACTAAAATTCTAAATTTAGAAATAAATTAGACCAAAGGTGTTTTACACACATACATTATTACTTTGAGCAGCCCAGCATTAAGGAACCCCAAGGCATGGACTTTTCCATATAAGCGAGTATTTGATATTTGACGAGACCATTACGCGTTTGTTTGTTTTTTAACCACAGAGATGTTTCAAGATGGCTCTTTCAGGTTCATCATTCCCTGCGCTCACAATCAAGTGTTTCAACACAGAAGTGCTAACTTTTCCCTTGTCCAAAATACTTTATCTGCTGCAAGTTAAAAATCACAACAGTTAAACACAACCTCTATAAAAATCTTTTTTTTTTTCTGGCTTGTTCTTACTACCCAAAGTAGAACTCCCAGGAGAAATCTTTTCATAGCAAATTACAATGCAGTCAAGGGTACTACTACTTTGCCATGCACAAGCCCTGTCTCACCTCATTGAAGTCCAGATACTTTTTCCTTGAGCCAAGTGGGATGACTTCTTTTAAATCAAAGGTCATTCTGAGACGTACACTACTCAAGATGAAGTCTTGAGCTTTTTCAGCTCTTTGAATTCAGAGGACCATTCTGCACCAAGAGAGATGTTCATTCTTAGACTCAGCTGGTTTACTCAGTTTTCACAACTTGCTCCTGTTACTAGAAGTAGCTCTGATAAAATGAAGAGTGAATTAGACTAAGAGCCGGCCTTGGGGGTGGGTGTCACCTGCACATGTACACAAAAATGGGCACCACAAGTAGAAGGTAGCGGTCCTAGCCTGGGGCGTTGCTCAGCAGGCAGGGGCTGCCCCGGACTCCATGCATGGGGGCAGCTGTGGGAGTGGCACCTGCTCCTGCTTGGGTGGAGCAGGGTACGGTGGGGTAGGGTGAGGTGGCACATACAGGGAGCCCTGGGCTGGGTCCTGTGGCCCACGGAGGGTAGCAGAAGGATCAGGCTGAATCTCACCTGTATGTAGTTGGTTGCATGTCAGGCCCTGGAGGAGTCCTGTGGTGGTTGCAGGGCAATGGACCCTTCCTGACAGCACTGGCAGGCTGCTCGCTGAAGGTTCTTGCTGCCTCCACTTTGGCTCCATGGGGCTGCAGCTGGCAGTCCATGTCACGGGAAGATGACCTGCTCAGCTCCCCAGCCCATCAGATGGATCTCCTCTGTGGCAGGGCAGCAGCACCAGCAACTTATAGAGAGTGGAGGGGCAGGGAAATACAAGTTTACCCAAGATACCATTTTCCCTTAGGCCAGCTCCGATTAGACTGCTCTGGCCTGCATCTTATTAGAATTTCAGTAAGGTTTTAGTGAGCCCTGCAATTATTCCTATTTAAACTTGAAAGTATTATCTTCACATCTGTGCAGCAGTTCAGCCCAGAGAATCTTTAATACCAATGAGACTGGCAGATCTCAGCTTGATTTTCATATTTCAGCATGAAAGCTGAAAGGGGAGGCGGAGAGCAGGAAGTGTGTTTTCCTCATAAATGGGGCTTAAGATTTTGAAGATAAGCAGAAAAATGCCATTTTTAACAAATCCAGTTCATAGAGCGAGCATACAACTTTAAGAGTCTTATTACAAGTATGTGTGTAAGTATTTATCAAGACAGGTAGACTTAAGTAGTGCCTGATACTGTAGTATCTACATGCCAAATAATTCTTAGTCATGTAATGGTAAAGCAAAGGTCACCGTTTGGCCTCTTCTCCACAGTGATCACCAGGAATCTGGGTTTCTGTTTTGCATGGAAAAATAGAGAAAACCATGGAGTTCCCAATTTTAATCAGAGAAAATGCAGATTTTCCTTTCTAGCAGAGCAAGCCACAGATTTCGCCCTTCTGCAAAGAGCTCTGCAGGCTGGCTGAGTTCCAGCCTACATGAGCTGATTTCAAAAGGGGCAGAAAACCCCCAATCCCACCTGGAGGGGAAAAGAGGGAGAAAGGTGGGGCCTGAGGCTTTTAGTCCCAAGGCTTACTTCTGCCTCACATACCTAATCTTACAGGCTCCAGAAGGAAAGTGGGGCTCGCATGGGGCTGAGCTGGCTGGGAGGGGGAAGCGGGGAGGTGTTGGTGAACCATGCAGAGTGCCTGGCTGGCAGCATGTGGACTGCCAGCAGCACTAAAAACAAAATCGGCCCGACTAGGCTCAGTGCCTCCATGCACGGCTTCGCTTAAGGGCCCATAGTGCTGCTGGTGATCCACGTGCTGCTGGCTGGGCACTCCATATCTTTCATTCTCCCATGCCCCCCAGATCTGTGCATGGAGCAGGCTTCAGGCTTGAGCTCCCGCTCCGATTCCCTCCCCGCAGGCACAACTGGGAAAAGTGAGGCTGCATGGGGATCTCCTCGTCATACCCACCCCCGCAACCCCCACCCTGGTGATTCACCTCCTGTGCCTGCCACCACTTCCCTCAGTGCAGCCCTGTGCACAGGAGGCACATCCCCGGAGCAGCGCAGGGCAAGCAGCCGCTAGGAGATCCCTGCACAGCCCTGTTCCCAGCTGTGCCAGGTTGCGGGAGAGGGAAGCAGAGCAGCAGGGCACAGTAGCCCCATGGCTGCTCGCCACTGTCCCCTGCTTTCCCCCCTGCCCCGGCACTGCAGGGAGTGGAGGAGCCACACAGAGAACCTCCTTGCCACTTCTCACCCCCCACCCCCACGGCAATGAACCTCCTGCTCGTGCCAGTGCTTTGAGGGGCACAGCCGCGCACCACTGCCCTCACTGCAGCCCTGCGCACAGGAGGTGCATTGCTGGGGCAGCAGGGGGGCAACTGGCAGCGAGGAGGTTTTTTGCATGGTCCCACTGTTCAGACCTGCCCTGCTTCCCTCCCCCGTGACCTGGTGCAGCTGGGAACAGCAAGGCCGCACGAAAAACCTCCTCGCTGCTTCTCATCCTCCCCCCTGCTGCCCTGGTGATGCTCCTTCTGCACGTGTGGCTGCACTGAAGGCAGCGCCACAGGGCTGCACCCC